CATGACAGGCTAGAAAAACATGCTCATATGTTAGCTTGCAAACAAGACTCAAGACACAACTCTTAAAAGCAATGAAAGAGTAAAATAAATGAGCATGTGACAGAGCTGTATACACTGAAATTACATGTTAAAAGACACTACAGCATGCAATCATTTCAAGCAAAACATGTTTAGAGGCCTAAAATGCCAAGCTAATGAAGCCATTTGCACTACAACTATACAAAACCAAGCCCACATGACCAAAGTAGCCCAAAACAGAGTTAAATCATTCCAAATCAAAAGCAAACACATGCTGGAAATAAGCTACGTTAAGCTACAAAAACTTGCAATCATGTGATGCTAACTAGGCATGCAAATGAGACACAAGGAGGGGAGGCTAACCACTCAATTTTTGGAGTTCAAAACATACTTTTTACCACTGAAATAACTCTGAATTTCAGTGGTTTAAAGGCCCAAAAAGTTTGACTTTAATATGCTAAAAGATGGTACAAAGATTCACACAAATAAGCAACAAGAAGGGTAGACAACCCCTTAGCACAAAATGACTTCAAACCAACATGTTAAGGCCCAAAAATCAGAACTTTTTGTAGTTGAAAACTAGGCCCAAACTAGTATAAAGAGATGGGAAAACAAGTATGTACAAAGAGCTTAAATGAGGTAAGTCTTCTACCTTTGAAGCACAGCACAAAACAGCCGCTCTCTTAGGCTCAAACAACCTTCCAACAACCCAAAATAGGTTCCACGAGGCCTCAGCTCCAAGGTGGTCCAATTTGGTTAAGGGCTAGTGTGCAAATGTGTAGAGAATTCTAACTATTAAGCATAAAACAAGAGAAGAGAGAGAGAATTCTAGAGAGAGAGGGAGAAGTGGCCGACAAGGCCCCTCGCCCTTCCAGGCAAGAGGCACCAAGGTTTGGCCAAAAAACAAGCACAAAACAAAAAGGGTTTAGAGGCTCAAAGACAAGGCGTTCCACCGAGAACGTCGGACACTCAAAATAAGCACAAACAAGCACAATCATTGAGTGCACAAACGATGACGTCTAAGTCTTAAGGTTTGTAAAAAATAGGGTGTCTACAGTTGCCCCTCTTTGACAGAACTCGGAAGTCATGAAATGACGGGAGTGAATGTCAAAGCCTAAAGACGACCCATTTTTGACAAGGCCAAAGACTCAGACAAACAAGCAAGCAAAATAAAGAACGATTGCGCCCGCAGGCTGCCTACGTATCCCTTTACAAGGAATCAAACCAGCGTAGTTCTGAGGCAAGATGCAAATGATATGCTCGATGCAAAACATAACTTATGATTATACAATGAGGGCTATAAGGAAACATCTAGATGCAAATGTTAGGCAAATAAATGCTACAACAAACTCATACATAAGCAAGTAAACATGAACCAAACCATATTTCATGCAGAAAGGATGTAAGAAAATTATGCAAACCTAACTGCACCACACGCAGAAAAGATAAAGAACAACTATCGGGCGCACTCGAAGGCTCAAACAAAACACATCCTAGTGCGTCACATGCGAGAGGAGAAAAGGAAGTGGTGTAAACACCGGAGGGTGGTATGAACATCGGAGCATGCTCCAATGTTTCTAACCAAAGCAAGGTATAAGCATCGGAACACGTTCCAAACGCTTCTAACCGGAAGGGTGGTATAAACATCGGGTACACGTCCCAATGTTTCTAACCAAAACAAGGTGGTATAAGCATCGGAACACGTTCCAAACGTTTCTAACCGGAAGGGTGGTATAAACATCAGGCATACGTCCCAATGTTTCTAACCAAAGCAAGGTGGTATAAGTATCGGAACATGTTCCAAACATTTCTAATCAGGAGGGTGGTATAAACATCAGGCACACGTCCCAATGTTTCTAACCAAAGCAATGTGGTATAAGCATCGGAACATGTTCCAAACGCTTCTAACTAGGAGGGTGGTATAAACATCGAGCACACGTCCCAATGTTTTTAACCAAAGCAGAGTATAAGCGTCGGAACACGTTCCAAATATTTCTAACCAGGAGGGTGGTATAAACATCAAGCACACGTCCCAATATTTCTAACCAAAGCAGAGTATAAGCGTCGGAACACGTTCCAAACGCTTCTAACCAGGAGGGTGGTATAAACATCGGGCGCACGTCCCAATGTTTCTAACTAAAGCAGAGTGGTATAAACACCGGGCATACCCGAGTGTCTCTAACCAAAACAGGGTGTTCAAAGGACATGAATGATCTTACCTGGAGTTCCTCTGAATGAACCGTACATACAATATCGTCTGGTTGCACCAGCTTTGAATGAACCGTACATACAATATCGTGCCTACACAAGAAAGAAACTTGACAGGTTCAATACAATAAGAATGCATGTTCTATGCAAGGCGAATAACCATGACACAATGCTTAGAGGCATGCTTCATACACATCATGCGAGGAACAAAACAGAAGCATATTCTATGCAACGAAAAATGGAGCATGTTCTATACAACACCAAATGCATGTTCAATGTAACAGGTACAAACATCTTCTATGCGAATGTATAGGCATGTACAATGCAATATAACGCGACATGCATATTATATGCAAAACATGAGAACATGTGTAATGCTATGCAACGCAACATACACATTTTGTGCACAATAATAACAATGCATATTCAATGCAACATCAATAGCATGTTCGATGCAAAACACCGAATAAAGAAATGCGCGTTCTATGTAATGATAAACAGGACGTGCCTTAATAGAACCAATTCAGTTGGAACCTCCGGCTTACCTCTTGGAGGAGTTACAATATATTTCAAAAGGATATACCTCGTTCATGCCGACTGACGATAAGTCATGCATCGAAGACATGGTTCAAAACTCCCGCAGAGACGCTTTGAGTTGAAAAGTGAACCTTTTTTTTTGCACTTTCTTGAGAGCCAAGGACACAAAACAGTATAAAAACACACAGGAAGAACACTGGACACCTGTCGGCCACCCTGAAGCAGTGTCGGCCAGTTGCAAATATTGTCGGCCACCTAAGTGGCCGGTCGGTCACAAAAACTGGCCGGTCGGCCAGTTTTGGTAAATATAGGCCATTTTGGTCTTTTTGCATGGAGATCTTTAAAAACACATTTCCAAATCACATTTCCTTACACCCCGATTGTCGAAATTACTTGCTCTTCATCCCTAGACACTTTTTCCTCCTAGATCCGTGCTCCACACGCGTTTTCTAAAAAAGTTGACTTTTGTTGACTTTTGGTATTTTTCACATATTTTGCTCATTTTCGCCTACTTTCTCTCCTTCTTATTAGATGGCAGACGACGTTCCTCAAGATGGGGGCTCGCTAGGGATGGAGGGAGAGCTTGAGTACATACCATTCCTACCTAGAGTCCAACCTTTTGACCTGAAAAGGTACCGCCCCGAGGCGAATGGACTACCGCCCAGTATAGTCTGTTATTTCAACGGATTTGCATGAGGTGAACCAGCAGATCTCCTGCTGCGAGAGCCAGAGTCTCACCTGTCTCATGGTGCCTCCGAGATATGCACTGTATTCTTACATTTTCTGCGATGTACTTTACATTTCTTGCATAGCTAGCACGTTTGCACTGCATTTCATTTGCTCATTTTGAACACACTCACACACTATATTTCTTCTACTTATTCTGAACACAGGTTGACTCCTGTTTTACCCGAGGATATGGGTCCACCGCAGCAAGGGAGTGGTACATGGACCTCCCCGATGGTGTCCGGTAGATCATCGATGAGGCGGGGTTCAGTTTGTTCTACATGGGGTTGTCGCACCTCATGACGAGTAGGACCCTTCTGAGCGCGCTGTTAGAGAGATGGTGGGATACTACTAACTCTTTCCATTTCTCTACTGCTGGGGATATGACGATGACCCCATATGATTTTTCCATGTTGACGGACCTCGAGGTAGGAGACCGGCCGATCCCATATGATACCGATATGGGCAAGTGGGAGGCCGCCTAGACCTATTTGTTGGGAGCACACCCACCTATTTTTCGATCAGGGATAGTCTGATAGACCTGGTTCGCAGACCACTACAGAAGGACATCTCCAGTAACTATAGAAGAGACCGAGCAGTATGTCTGTGGCTTTCTGATGTTTCTCTTCGGCACTACCTTGTTCGTCGACAGGGCGAACACAGTCGGGCTGTATCTTCTGAGCGCCTTGGTGGACTTATCTCAGGTTCAGCATTATGATTGCGGTGGCGCCGGCCTCGCTACCCTATACTGCTAAATGTGCTCGACCTCCAGCAGGAGCGGGAACAGAGTTGGCGGCTATTGGAGAGCCTGAGAGGTATGCTTTACTTTTCTGCTTTACATTTTATTTCGTGCTTTCTGCTTTGCACTTTCTGTACACTGCACACACATAGCCTACTCTTTGCATTTGTACTTTCTGTACACTGTACTACACACCTTGCTTTCTACATTATCTGTGTATTTTGTACTCTCTGCATTCTACATTTTTTGGACATTGCACACATACTCTACTTTCTACATTATCTGTGTTTATCTGTATTCTTACTATCTCCCTCTTGCTTTTTACAGCTATATGTGTACACCTATTTCTCGACGCTTGCTCCAGAGCCGGAGGTCGAGATGCCTGTTGGGGTGCCATATTTGTATCGATACGACGGTCGGTGCCAGTCGAGGACCCAGGCGACCCTCTCATTCCTTCGCCAGTATTTCGATACAATGAGGGCGGTAGAGGTAACTCAAAACTCACAGTTCTTTCTGCTTTCAGCTCCAATTGATTTTACATATCTAATGGCAACTTATTAATCTATGCACTTGCTGTCTGCAGATCACGTGGCAGCCTTGGGCAACGATGCCAGAGGGTGCCAGATTTTAGTTCGCCGGAGCTTGGGGCACTTCCTTGTATCGGCTCATGCTCGAGGGACCAGTAGACCGAGCTTGGTTCCTAGGCGAGCCCTTCATGCGCTAGACACTAGGTCTGCCCTTGTAGTCGGTTCCCTTACCACCTCCGCCTTCCATGCGAGCCATAGAGAGTCTTTCCCCTCAGGAGATCATTGACTTCATACAGGATGGAGATGCAGACCTCTTCATTAGGGAGGGGGACTATATGACTTATATCCAGATGTACCTCATCCCTCCTTTGACAGGTATTCGTGCTCACACAAGGAGGATAACTAATGTCTTTTCGTCAAATGGGGCCCGAGCAACAGATGTCCCTTCAACGAGCAGGGCCCGAGCATCGAGGGGAAAGGCTAGAGGGACACCCCCTGCTAGGTAGAGTGTTGGATGGCCAGATCTTCTGACCGAGCTGACGGGTTGGCGATACTCTGGAGAGCCTTATCAGATCCTAATTGAGCCTCCATTGCTTGGTCATCGATATGTTAGGACACCTGACTCACCACTGGTATGCACTACAGCTTTAATTTTTTCATTCTCGCTCAGATACTCAGATATTAATTCATTCACTAATCATTTCAACTTGCATTTGCAGCGCTCCATAGGGTACGTTGAGGGGTTACTCGAGATATTCTCCTCATTCGAGGGCATGATCTTGAGGAGGGAGTCGATCATCGGCTCCCACGGTATTCAAGTAATTTTTTCAGTATTCTTGCATTTCGATCATCATATTTCTGCTGATATACTGAAACTGACATCTCAACTAAACATTTTACACACACACTGCACTGATACACTGCATGTATAGATCACATCTGACACATTGCATTCACATACTGTATCTGACTTCTGTATGTACTCATTCTGCACACCATACTTGCATCTGATACACATACGATGGTTGAAACATTCAAACTGCCTTTTTAGGTCACACCTCTATAGACAGGACTGGCGGCGACAGAAACAGGACCATCAGCGCCCCCTCCAGCAGTAGGGAGAGAGAGAGAGAGGTTCTGGCACGTAGTCGAGAGAGGCATCGGGAGCCCATCATGCGTGATGACGATGATGAGACCAGCGAGACCGAGATCGAGGAGGGCAGGGATCAGCACACCGAGTCATCCGAAAGCAGAGATGAGGATGTTGGCTCAGGTTCTACAAGTGGAGATGAGGTTGAGCTAGGTTCATATACAGAGGATGACGACTCCGATTTTGATTCTTCATTGGGTTCAGACAGCGGCGCGGATGGGGATAGCTCTGCAGAGTCCGTTCCGCCGAGGAAGAGGAGGAAGAAGGCCTCTAGAGCTTGAGATAGCCAACGCTAATTCATGTGTTTTTGCTTTGTTTCTTTTTACTAGTAGTGTTAACACATTGTATAGCCTTAGGCAACTTTATTTTCCTAAAAACTTATACTCTTTGTAAAAAGAAACCATGATTGGAATAAAAATAGCTTTTTTGATGAAAACATGTTGCATTTTATATTCTGAGCATCGCATTGCACCACTTTACACAAAAACGAGATTGATGGAAATTGAATATTGTACATTGTCTTGACAATTGCTTAGTTAGGTAGTGAACCGACCAAAACATAACAAACAGAGTAAAACAACTCAAATAAAATAAAAAAACTAATGCAACAATTCGATAAATAAAACAACAACTCCACAAACAAAATAACAACTCGATAAACGAAACAAATGCAACTCGACAAAACAACTCGATAAACAAATTGCGATAACTCGATAAATAAATTGAAACAAACTTGAGAACGACTCAACAAAACTACATCAGAATGCATCCAGAGTAGAACAAAACACAGGTTCTCAGTATTCTCAACACACAGGAAAACCAAAGGCATTCTGCTGGACACAAATAGTGGCTGTCGGGCACTTGGTGGTGATTGTCGGCCACAAAAGGTGGCCGGTCGGCCACCTTAACTGGCCGGTCGGCCAGTGATGCAGAGAGTCTCCAGATTGCTGCCACCTGTCTTCCACTCAGTGCCTTATCTTCTACAAAAATTAAGACTTCGTAGTTTTTTCATTCCAACTCTGTTTGTGCCACAAATGGAGCCATTCTTCAACGAAAAACTCTTATCTTGGATTGCAACTTTAGATGGCTCGAAAAAAGTGAATTTTCAGGGTTTCGGGATAGATGTACTATTCCCGCTAAGTCGTACTCCACTGTGTTTTTCGTTCCTTCATACCGCAGCTAGATGTTGGAACTCGGTTGTGTTTAGCTTCGAGGGTCATGAGATGTGCTTACAATTGAAGAGTTCCAAGTTTTGAGGGAATCCAGGCGTGACGAGGAAATCTTGCCCCAGTCCCGTTTTGGCCATATCCAAGCTTTATGATGGACGTGTGGGCTTACTTTACACGATGCCTGATCTTTAGTTCACAACGGAGAGTAGGATATCCCCAATCTTATTCATCGATTTTCTGACGCCGGCGACCGCCTCTGGCAAGGTTTTCGACAGTATGCCCTCTGCTTGTGTATGTTGGCTCATTTTCTATTTGCCCCTAGTTTTGAAGGGTCTAGCGTCCACTTGATCGAAGTTGCCCAAGGCTTGAAACAGGGCAAGAGTTGTATTGGCTTGACACTAGGTGAGACTTTGATGGGCTTGGATGCTTTCCATCGCCGAGAGACAGCCAAGTTCGCAGGAAGTCCACTACTCTTACAGGTAATGTTTCCCACCCTTTTCACATGTGTTTCTCACATCACTCGGCCCTCAGGCTCTGTTTTTCTCTCAAAAACCCTTTCTCACTTTTTTTTCTCCATGTGCACCTCTCTATTCTTTAATCTCTCTTATTTTTTATCTCTCCCCAGATATGGCTCATGGATAAGTTGAAAGTAGTGGACTCTTGCCCTGCGTATTCAGCACGCGGCTATTTCTTCCGCCAACGGCTAGTTGATTTCCCGAATGAGGGATGGTGGTGCCACTAGATATGCAACAGATCTGCTATTGACATTGCTTGGTGTTGCCCCTGGTTTGATCTGCCTAAGATAAACTACAACATGTCTCGCCAGCCTGGCATCCAGTTGGTTAGTTTGACACACTGTGTCGTTTATTTTCCATTTCGATTCAAGCGTCAATTCGGACACGACCAAACTTGCCCGGAAGAGGGGATAGAATACCCAACTTCATTTCCAATCTGAGGTTTACACCTAGCTCGATACTCTACTGCTTGGAGAACAAGAGAACTTTTGGCTTCCACTCCCAATTTCAGTTACGCTCTTTCTGGCAAATGCATAGCTTGGCTTGAAGATGAGGCACAAACTGGGCCTACTTTAGCATCTGAAGCTTTCACAAGCTCTGGGAGGGGACGCAGAAACACCTGACTCAACTGTGCCCTAAGTTTATTACTTTAATCTGTACTTTCAAGTTTTCCTTTTGAATGTAATAAAAAAGCAACTTCGATTTGTATCAAGAGGTAAAGAACTCTGTATTGAAATCAATGAAATTGAAGGTTGTGGGCACTGAAAATTTTTCTTTTGGTCCAAAAGTGGTCTAAGTTGTAAAAAGATTAATTTGAACAAAATCAAATTTTATTAAAACTTTTCAAAACCATTTTCGGTAAGGATCACAATTAGATACACCCGGAATCTACCCTTAAGATGCACAACCCTGAATCCAATAACTGGAAAGTTGTCCCTTGTCCGAAGAGTACTGCACTGTACTATAAAGAGCTCTCATAGTGAAGATCGCAACTGAACTCTTGGATACAGAAAAGACAAAGATGACCAGAACAATCTCATGGACACAATTGAGTTGGAAGTGTTTATGGCTGGACTTCAGAATTAAGTTGCCTACGTATCCTGAAGATGGGAATCAAGCCTTACGTAATTCGGTTTCGGTTTATGAAAGCCCTACGTATCCCGAAGATTAAGGCATGAAAGACTAAAAGAACATGCTCATATGTTAGCTTGCAAACAAGACTCAAGACACAACTCTCAAAAGCAATGAAAGAGTGAAATAAATAAGCATGTGATAGAGCTGTATACACTGAAATTACATGTTAAAAGACACTACAACATGCAATGATTCCAAGCAAAACATGTTTAAAGGCCTAAAATGCCAAGCTAGTGAAGCCATTTGCACTACAACTATACAAAACCAAGCCCACATGACTAAAGTAGCCCAAAACAGAGTTAAATCATGCCAAGTCAGAGACAAACACATGCTGGAAATAAGCTAAGTTAAGCTACAAAACATGCTACTATGTGATGCTAACTAGGCATGCAAGTGAGACACAAGGAGGGGAGGCTAACCACTCAATTTTTGGAGTTCAAAACATACTTTTTACCACTGAAATAACTCTAAATTTCAGTGGTTTAAAGGCCCAAAAATTTTGACTTTAATATGCTAAAAAATGGTGCAAAGATTCACACAAATAAGCAACAAGAAGGGTAGACAACCCCTTAGCACAAAATGACTTCAAACCAACATGTTAAGGCCCAAAAATCAGAACTTTTTGGAGTTGAAAACTAGGCCCAAAATAGTATAAAGAGATGGAAAAATAAGTATGTACAAAGAGCTTAAATGAGGTAAGTCTTATACCTTTGAAGCACAGCACAAAACAGCCGCTCTCTTAGGCTCAAACAACCTTCCAACAACCCAAAATAGGTTCCACGAGGCCTCAGCTCCAAGGTGGTCCAATTTGGTTAAGGGCTAGTGTGCAAATGTGTAGAGAATTCTAACTATCAAGCATAAAACGAGAGAAGATAGAGAGAATTCTAGAGAGAGAGGGAGAAATTTGCTTAAAAATATCTAACCTCCCCAAATGGGGAGAGACCCCTTATATATAGAAAATCAAGCTAAAGACTTGTATTCATCTCTCCATACACATGATGGAGATGGCTTTCAGTGATTTATAGCTGGCACAACTGGTAAACAAATATCTGAAAAACGGAACAAATGGTCGTTGGCCACTTTAGGTGGTCGACCGGCCACCTTAACTAGCCGACCGACCACTTTAAGTGGTCTATAAGAGGGAAAAGTGGCCAACAAGGCCAAAAAGTGGCCGACAAGGTCCCTCCCTTTTCCAGGCAAAAGGCACCAAGGTTTGGCCTAAAAACAAGCACAAAACAAAAAAGGGTTTAGAGGCTCAAAGACTTCGGGCACTCAAAACAAGCACAATCATCGAGTGCACAAACGATGACGTTTAAGTTTTAAAGTCAGTCAAAAATAAGGTGTCTACATACATATTCGAAACAATTTCCAAAACAAACATGAAACGAATGTTCCAATTCTTGCAAAGTTAGTCTATACTTGTGTGTACGTATCATATAGTAATGCTAGCCTAATAAATCGAAATAAGAGCGCATAATGTACAGAAAAATCATATCATGATTAGTAAAGGCCGATCTTTGAATTTGAATAATTTGAGTAATGTTCATATGTGATCACTTTTTCAAGTGATAATATCACATAGTAATGCTATACCTGTGATTAATAAAGGGCGATCTTTGAATTGAAATAATTTGAGTAATGTTCATATGCGATCACTTTTTCAAGTGGTACATATTTGAAACAATTTCCAAAACAAACATGAATCGAATATTCCAATTCTTGCAAAATTAGTCTATACTTGTGTGTGCACATCACATAGTAATGCTAGCCTAATAAATCGGAATAAAGAGCATATAATGTACATAAAAATCATATCATGATTAGTAAAGGCCGATCTTTGAACGGGCGAGTAGGGGTGCTCAATTCATGACCTTCCCCTCTCGTACCTAAATTCCTAAGCCGAGACAATCTTGGTGATGACGGACACGTGGACTTTGGCACGAGTCATAGGTTTCCTAAATTTCCCATAAAATATTTAGGTGGTGACTCTGTATCTGGCAAAGTAGTTCATTTTTGGCATTTTGATTCAAAATTTATTTTTCAAAAAGATTTGCCAGATTTGGACTCTTTGGTGTTTATCAATTTCACATTGCACATGTGACATTAGATTTAGAACCACCGGAGTCCAAACTGTAGGGCTTATTTCGACCTCTCAAAAGAAGGGCACGAAAAAGTCGAGCTACAATAACTGGTTATCTACAGCTCGGTTAGGTCAATCGAACTCGCCCAAACCAACCTTGCCTGGCATTGAAACAGGGTTGGCACGGTCAATCCGCCTGCGACCAAGTCGCCGACCTCGGTCATTCCTCTGTCTAGCTGAGATCGAAAGCTACCCCTCAGTCTGGTAGAGAGCAACACTACTATTCTACCAACCTCAGCATTGGACCTAGTTAATCGATTACCTCAACCCAATGTTGGGCATCTCTCTAGAACAGCCGTAAGGCCCAGGACAACAACCCAAAT